GGATGGATGGATGGATGGATGGATGGATGGATGGATGGATGGATGGAATTTGAAATACATTATTTTTTTATGAATCAAGCTTTAAAATGATGCTATTTGGAAAAGTTCATGTATTTTTTTCTGTCAAATAATCCAAGCTTGCCAAAAGGAAGTGTTTATTTTGAATCAATGGTTGACTCCCAGCCAGCCACCACCAGGCTGAAGTGACAGGCAAACTCCCACAAAGCCAGACTGTTTCTGCAGAAACATGGCCAATAATTGGAACATTTTATGAAAAAAGGTTGCTGTTTGTCAACATGTTAATCCAAGTCTGGTTTAGCTTAGTTTTAACTTTATAATTTATATATAGGATTGCCTCTCATACCAAGGTATGCATCACCCAAAAATGAGAAATTAACTGAACAAGAATCCTTATATGATTACTAGAAAATCCTCTTATATATAACAGCAAGTGTTAGAGAACTTAGCTATAAATATTCTGATTCTACTCTTGAGCCTTTTATTATATGATGATGGCATGTTTTATTCAGTAAGCAAAGGGATGCAGCAAGACGCTGCTCTAAATTTTATACCCTGCCATCACTGCAAAGCCTCACAATGACATGCATCCCACTAATAAGTCCATCAGAGCGGAGCGGGGCTTTCACTGACAGTGACGTCCTAATCCAAGGGGGAGCTGCTGTTTCAGCCGTTATGCTTCAGCAGAGGAGATACTTAGGCCTCTAAGGCCAATATGATCACAGCAGAGCATGGAGACAAAGTTTTCAGCTGATGGAGCATTACACTTCCCACATGTCTGCAAGCTGGTCGGCTGTAAGCGTACATAAATGTTTTTTTGTTTTATTTCTGGCTTGAGGGTTATTATTTATGTATTTTTGACTACTATTCATGCCTTGATAGCAATTATTCATCTGTTTATGATGACATTTACAAAAAGTATGTTAGAGTGATGCTTTGTTTCACTTTTCCTGGTAACAATCACACACTGGAATATTTTTAGGACAGAGTTCCTGCAGTAAGAATGTTGCATCAGAAGTGGCTCAGAGGATAGCAGATGGACAAAGCACAAGACAAGAGTGTCTGAGGGTCATAAATGAACATCTGGTATTTAAATGAATGGTTCAGATGTTGTGGAATGAGGTTTTGTGAATAGATAACTAACAATTCATATCT